TTTTTAAATATTATTTCTCCACCGGATCTACACCTAATGCTTGGCGTTTTAATACGTTGTTTACGCATATGTTAATTAAAAAGGAAGCCTTGGCATGGGCACAGCATTCAATTTTCCAACGTGAAGTAGGTAACTTATGGCGGTCCCGCCTTTAAGGGAAATGCCTGCAAAACACTTTTAGATAAAAGTGATGTCTAAGACGAGATTGCAGCGTGGGCTGCTTACAATTTGTGAAAGCCTTTAAAGACTTTAGAGTAGAAGTTAAATCATGTTTTAGTCAAATTTAAATCCAGATTTAAAAAATTATATTGCGGCCTTTAAGAAGAGTTACCTTGAACTGGAAATTAGTATTACCCCTAAAGTCATGCAGTTTTTTTTCATATCAAAGATTTCTGTGATTAAAAGCAACAGGCCTTGGGCTTTTTTAGTGAACAGGCAATGGAGTCTGTGCATTTTGATTTTAGTTCAGTGTGGAAAAAATACAAAGTCTCCAGGAACCATTCAAACCACCCAGAGTGGTAGTAAAATATAATAGTCTTCACATTTAAGTTTTTTTACCTAAATATGCAAAGTTGTTACAATTTGAATTATTAAAGTTGTATAAAAAAATATAATTACTTAAGGTTTTCCGCAAAAAAAATATTTTCAAAAGGAAATTCAAAAACGGCTCAGCAGATTTTTCCCTACCTGACCTTAAAATAATCAGGAAAAATTAACAAAACATACAAAACAAAAAAATCAGAGGTGCAAGCACTTTTGTGTTGAGCTTAATCGAGGATATAGGTGGTTGTTTCAACATGTTACTTTCATTTTGTTTGTAATCCTTTGTATTGACCAGACATGTTCGCGGCATAATCGTAAGTTTGGCCTCTGCAGTTTTTTATATCAAAACCCAGATTTTGCAATAATTCCAATACAACTTTCTCTAAATATACTGCATTATGTCTCTCAACTGGAATGCATCCAAAAAACCTTTCTTTCATATTTCCATTTTACCAGTCGTTAAAACTTGTTACTAATTTTCTTTGTTTTTTTTTTTTGTTGAAAAAATTTACAAACATAACAGTACATAGATTTACTAGTTTCTGAAAATAGTAACCATTCTTGCAATCAATCAATAAAAGTTGGAATCAGAAAAATATCTATAATATGATTGTTTTTTTTTGACAAACTTTACCTACTTTTAATTTTGTGATATCACCAGTATTGTAAGGTTTGTACAATTTAGTATAAATTATAGCTTTAACACAAGCATTAAATATGTACAAACAAAATAACATTAACGCTATAAAGGGCCTAGTCGCCGACAAACATTTAAAATATCTCCATTTAAAAACAGTGCAAAACCTTGTTTTGTATTACCTCGTATATCAATAATTTAGACATAAATAGTACATTCAAACTATGTTGCCAATTCTATAACAAATTATATTCGGTTTTCGATTTGCATGTTCCATTATATGATCGTAAGCAGTGTTCAAACCCCTTATGGTTTTCTAATATTTAAAAAAAACCTAAAACTAAAATTTTATTATTATAAACTTAAAAAAAAAACGGCAATGGTAAAATGTATAGTGAATTCTCTCGGCTACAAAAACGTACTAATACTGACTACAAAACTACATAACTTAAACAGAAAACAATTTATATAGGTACTAATCCTAAACAATTTTGGTCACTTGTCAATAATAAAAAAGATCTTCCAGAATTCCTGGGAGAGTGCATAATGATTACGAAACTTACAATACGCCCGAGAAGATAGTGAATGATTTTGCTAAACACTTCAGTAGTGTATACTCCCCTTCAGAAACAAAGGTTATGAAAGTAAACCCATTTCTAATTTTTTTTGTATAAATATTCCACCTATCCATGAATCAAATATATTACAAATTTTGAAAGGACCTAATAAAGAAACATTAGGACTAGACCTTATTCCCAGCTTTTTAATTAAAGACTGTGCTTTAATCTTTTTTCAATCACTTTAGACCATTTTTGGTAAAATTTTTTCATGTGGAAAATTTCCAGAGGTTTGGAAAGAGTATATAATATGTCCAATATTAAGTCCGGTGATCCTAGTAATGTAAGTAATAATATACATTGGTCTATTGTAACCTTAACTCGAGGGCTATGGCTAACGGCAGCTTTACAGTGGTGAGATGGGTCGATGGGCTAATGTTGTTCCTCAATACTTACGTGCATAATTCCAAAATAAAATAAAAATGGGCGCCAGTGTCTCATTTGAGCCAGTTGGTAAAGTCCCCATAAGCCAGACACAAACTTAATGGGCATAAGGTCAATTAAAAAAAGTCAAGTTTAAAAATTATTAAGTATAATAAAATTTGATTATTACCGTTGTTAAGGTGATTTCATTTGAAAATGATTATGATTATTAGGACACTTAATAATGTTATTGGTGCACCCTTATATGGCCATATATGGTTTACAAAGAACCAAATTCGATATGACTAAATTTAACATGAGCAAAATTTTACTGTTAATATAAATAAAAACTTGAGTTATGATAAATAAAGGTTGAAGACCAAGTTAAAATTTCCTTAATTTAAAAATACACAAAAGTTTAACGGCGTGTAGTGAACACTGTGTTTCTTATAACATTACTATTACTTAAAAGTGGGTACGACCTGATTAGTTTGAGCTCTGGTGGATCCTGGAGAATTAGGAATCCTACGTAGTGGTTCTCTGGTTGACCCAAAAGTTGGTTTTGACGCCAAAACAGTCAAGGTAAACTTCCATAAAAACTGGTTGAAAGAATTTTCCCGATGTGAAATGGTACAGGAAGGACTTTAACATCCTTACTTAATATCTGTACTTAAAATCCGTACTTAAAAACCCTAAAATAACATAAAGATGCCTCAGCATTCAGCAACTACAGTCTTCCAGACTTACCCTTGTTCTAAGGAGTTTTTTTAACGTCACGACCGCATGGAGACTAGGTCAACAAAAAATATATTGGATTCAACAACCATCTAAAATGGAGAACCGCGTGGGTAAAAAAAAATAGGTTCAGCAACAAGTTAATAACTCACCCTGAGCTCATCGTACCACACGAAAAGTGCTTTAGTCGGAAATATTACAATTAGATTGAGAGATTTACCACGTATTATTGGAACTTTTCCATAATTTAAGCACATACTTAACTCTCATCTAATCGCTTCAACGACCAAATCGAAAAAGACGCTCAACTCAAAACTTGTTGCGTAGTAAATTTAATGCGTAGAAAAATTAATGCGTAGAAAACCTGCTGGAAAAATCGCGAACCCAATCTGGCTATGTTGCCTATGTTAACAAACATTTTTCAAAAGAATTCCCACAAAGTCCACCAGAACCCAAGCCTCAAACACAAATACTTCCTTAGTAAACCCTACACTCATACCCTTCTGGTGACATTTCCAAAATTCAAAATAACGACCTGCCTTAACCCAACCATTTGGAGAATTCCCTCTAATGACACTAAATTGTTGATAGTGGCAAAACGCCAATAAATCGATGAAAACCGTACATACAACCCACAATCCATCAGTGTGTTCCGGGTTGCCTAATATCAAATTAAAGTTTAAGAAATAAAAATAAAAAGAAATCTAATTACAGTTCGCCTATCTATCCCTCTGTCAGTAAAAGGAACTCAAATAAACTAATTTATTCTCCTGGAAGGAGGCAACTAAACAACTAAACAAATATCCTTTTTAACAATAGTCAAACTTAAAATAAATCAACCAAATGGTTCACATCTAAACCGTTCTAGATGTAAAAAAAAACTAATAAAATAAATTAAATGAGTAGCTGTCAAAATGACGGTTACACTATAATTACTTATCTATTTTAAACAAGTTTTCAAAGGCCTTTGAGATTTCCGTACCTATATACCCAAATTTATTTTCAAATCAGATCTCTTATTTCACATAAACAACATGGTTTTATGTCTAATACGTCTACAGTAACAAACTTAATTATTATTAATCAGTTTATATATAATAGTTTTGATAGTCAAGTTCAGGCTAATGTGCTATAAACAAATTTTGCAAAGGCCTTTATAGCCTGGAGTCCAGGCAGCCCCGGATCTTCAATTTTTTTTTAGGCGGGGCAAAAACTGAAAAATGCCGCCCCCGCCCACTTATATTTATTTTTACCTTTATCATCTTTATAATTTCAGCTATATATATATATATATATATATATATATATATATATATATTATATAGACATGAACGTGTATGATATATATTTTATACACAGCACAGGATAGGATTTAAAATAAAAATATGTATAATAAAAATAAAAATCAAATATATTATTGCATTTACAATTTTACTCTTCGAGCTTTTTGTTCAGCAAATAAATCTATGACCTTGTCATAATTTAATTCGCGTGCAATTCGATTTTCTATCGCTAAGATTGCAAGACTTGATAAGCGTTCTTGGCTCATAGAAGATCGCAAATAATTTTTAATTAGTTTTAGTTTGCTAAAACTTCGCTCACAGCTTGCGGATGTAGTAGGAAGCGTAGAGTAAATTCGCAGGGCATTACATATATTAGGAAAAGCATCCTGCAAATCATGCGCATAGATCTGTTGCAAGAGATAGAAACCGTTAGCCTTTTCTATATCACCAAATAAAAGCGGAGCTTGCTCTTTAAAAACATAGAGTTCCTGGCAGAATTCAACGGCGCTTAAATCTCGCTCGTATTTTCGAGCCAGATCTGCTCCATACTTTTGCAGTTCTTCAATTGACATTTTTAAAATATTAGTACCATTAAGAAAATTAAAATTCAAATTCAGCATGGTAGCACAATCAAACCTCTTTTTAATTTCTGATATGATTCGATCAAATACCATCATTATTTCTTTAGAAAAAAGTTGAACAGGTTGGAGTGTTTGTAATTCGTCTTCACACATCTCATCGAAATGTTTTTACGTTTCGAAATTCGTTTGTTTTGCAAAATAGGGTCAACACCACTTTTTTCAGCAACTTCTTCAGCCTCTTTTATCCAATATTCCATTGGATATGTCTCATTTTTTGCAAAGTTTTGAGCAGACCATCCATTAGTGCGACGGAACGGGCAAGGATAATATCTTCTTTCTGAATTTCTATATTCACTCGATTGATTTCGCGGAGAATATTCGCCCAAATAGTTAAATTAAGAATAAATTTAAAATTCTTTATAGCAGTTAAGAGATAACCTGCCTCGTACTTAGCTTCTGAAAAATGAGAAGTTTGCTTAACTTCTTCTAAGGCTTCCGCTATTTCTGGCAAATTATTTAATAGGGCATTCACAGCAACATGTTTCGCCGACCATCTCGTCTGACTACTTCCTTTTAAATTTGTTTTAACGTATTTTTTCATAATGTCCCACCTAGTAGTGGATCCAACAAAAAAGCAATATACTTTTTGAATCAGTCCAAATAGGTTAATAGCTTCTTGGCATGATGAGGCAGAATGAACACCTACAAGATTTAAGGAGTGAGCCAAGCACGGTACGAACTCGGCCAGCTCATTCCTTTCTGCAATCCTGGCTTCTACTCCTTTATGGATGCCGGCCATATTGGACCCATTATCATAAGATTGGCCACGACATTGTCCAATATCTAAATCATCAACTCCCAATTTTTCTAAAATCTGTTGACAAATGTCCTCTCCTGTCTTTCCAGCAATTTCTATGAAATCAATGAAACTTTCTTTTATTTCACACACATCGCCAGTTCTTTTTACATATCGAATTACCTGGCTCATTTGTTCTGTATGGGATACATCTGGAGTGCAGTCGAACATTATCGTGTAGTATTTGGCTTCTTTGATGTCATTTAAAATGGCATTTTTAACTGTTTTTGCCATTATGTCAATTATTTCATTCTGTATTGTCTTTGATATATATGATACAAATGACCGATTTAGAAAAATAATGAAATATTAAAGGTTACTAACATTCCCAATCTCTAGGTACTTTAAGTTCATAGTAGGTATTTGGTAAAAAGTTAATTGTTTTACCATAAATAATACCTATCAAAATTTTGATTAAAGTGTAATTGTAATAAACCATAATCACAGGCGTAAACACAAAATAATAAACAATTGTTTATTATTTTGTGTTTATGCCTGGTTAACCAAGATGGCAGTGCATTGTTGCCAAATTGACCAAGACAGATTACCTATATACTTTTTTTTTAAATAATAATTTTGTAGATTAAAATAACTACAATTACGCTAAAATTATTCAGACAATAAAACAATAACGTTTAAAAAAGATATTTTTTAAATTTTTACCATATTTACCAGTAAAATTTGAATAAAGAAATCCTCTAAAAGAAACAAGGCAAGCTGTAGAATTTTAATAGTGTAGCATGCGTATTGGAAACATTTTATCATTTGAGATAGATACATATACCTATCTCTTAATAATTGCAAGGGGAGTGGTAAGTCGTTTACCCGTATAGGTATAGGCATATAGGTATATGCTCGGGTGTACCCCAGGGATCCAATTTGGGTCCAGTACTATTTAATATATTTATAAATGATCTGTACTCTAATCTTAATTGTAAGAATCTACTTTTCGTGGACGATCTTAAAATTTATGCACAAAAACGAAATGTACAGGAGTGTAAAAATCTACAAAGAGAACTTAATTCTGTTAATGAGTGGTGTGCAAAAAATAAATTATATTTAAATGTAAAAAAGTGCAAAATATGTTCATATACACTAAATTTACAAAAAATAGTTTTAGACGATGCTCTATTATTACGAATTGACTCTATTAAGGATCTGGGTATAACCTTTGACTCAAAATTATCATTTAATGAACATATAGTTAATATATCCACCTCAGCTAATCGCATGCTTAGTTTTATTATAAGAAACTGTAGGTCATTCCCAAGTATTCCTTTAATTCAATATTTATTTAACTCCTTGGTTAGATCCAAATTAGAATATGGTTCTGTAGTTTGGTATCCTTGTTACAATATATATGTAAATAAAGTAGAATCGGCGCAGAGAAGATTCTTAAAATAAATTTATTTTAAATTAAAGAATAATTATCGAGAACAGGGTATAGATAATCATTTGCTGTTAAATAAATTTCATATCTTTAGCAAACAGAAGATTTGTCTCTATTCAAATTCTACTCTATAAATTGTTAAATAATAAAATTGATGCAGCCGAGTTACTTATGCTTAATTTTTTTATTCCTAGAATAAGTTCCCGTAGTAAACATAAATTTAGATATGCTAGCTCTATGACTAATGTGCATTAGTGCAAGATATGTAATGTATGCGATTTTAATAATTGTAGTATCAGGGAATTGGTTAATTATTGTTATCAATGTTTATGTCAATTTTAGTTAGTTTTGTCGTATTATTATTTTTATTTTATCTGTTGGGCAAATAAATCATTTATTTATTTATTTAAAGAAATTGTACTTAAAAATGATATTTCTATAATTGGTGTATCAGAGACATACATTAAGATAGTCCATCTCAGTTTATTTCAATCCCTAAATTTAATGTAGCTAGACTTGACCGCGATGAGTTGGAGGAATTGCATGCTACCTAAGCACTACTTACAAATATACTCTTTATCATTCTCCAACGAATCAAGAAAATTTTAAATTTTGAAATTTGTATTATCTTTATGAGGGGGGCAGGCTGCATGGTAGGCGTATCTTTTTTTCGCAAATTTCTTTTTAAATCCAGCTTGTGCAGAACTTGTTAATTTAGTGTCATTACGAACTTATATAAATTTGGTGGGGGTCCCATGTCTAATAACTAAAATATCGATATAGGCAAAATCCACCACCAGCTACTGCTCCCATCAAAATAACACAAACCAGTGAGTCTTTAATAGATATAATTTGCGTGTCAAAGAATATGTTTGTGGATAAAAATCAGACTATCTATATGCAGGGAATTTCTGATCACGTGCTAACTACCTGTGAAATACGGGCAGAAACAGTAGCGGTGAGTTTCGAAACAATTTATTATAGACCTTAAAACAATATCGATTTAAATAGCTTTGCACTTGAAGAAATTTATAACGTACCTTGGGACAACAATAATAGCTATAAAAGTTTGAATAAAATTGAGATTTTAAACGAATTATTTCCCTCATTATAAAATGAACCAATCAAAAGAGACCAACGTTCAACGTTATGTGGACGTTGAGTTGTGATTTTTTCCTTATCAGTCGTTATCAATAAGGAAAACTGCTTATAAATAAGAAATTTCTCTTAGCGACGCGTTGCGCTGTTATTGTTATCCTTAGCCCTTAATTCGTAAGCGATTTTTAGTTTTAAAAAATCAGTAGTTTACCCCTCGATCAAAAGCCTTAAATTTTCGAATAAATTTTGTTTGAAAGCGATTCAATTTTAGCCTTCGAGTTTTAACATTATATTTTTTTTTTAAACAATAAAAAATAAGTTATCTAGATAACTAGATATCTAGTTTACAAAATATCAATACAAACCTTTAAATTAATGGAATTTTGTTTAAAAAATTGTTCATAAATTTTGACATATACGTCAGATTTAATTAATTGTCAAATAGTTTCCTTTAATTCAAGAAATAATCTAGACGTATACGCTTAAGAAGTATCGCTAGTAGCGCCACCACTCGGCTGTTATCATCGTAACAAAAGTATAACTTTTGAAAATCAGCTGTCAAACGCGTGTGTTACAAACGAGTGATTTTGAGAATAAAGCCGGAAAATGTTAAAAAAAATATCGAAAAAAAAAACTATGGCACGATTTGTTGTGTTGTTGGGTGTATTTCGAGAGGAAATCCTGGGTTGAGTTTTTATCGGTTTTCCAATAAAAAGTTTTAATCCGAATGAAGAAATAAATTTCATAGAGTTCCTGTAAATATAAATTGTATCTATTAGATACAATAAATACACATTTTAGTAATGATTAATGTGAAAAGTGTAAACATTTCAATTCAGTAATAATCGTCAACCAAATAAGTCGTCTAAATTTAAATAGCATTTAGCATTATTAAAAGCGTTGTTTAAGAATTCTTTAAAGTCTCCACATGGTAAAATACTATTATATTATGTATTATATATAATATTATGTTGCCATGAATTCGTAGGTATATTATTTTGTTTAAAATGCATCGGTATGTATGGGACCCATAGTTGGGATTTATGGTTGTTCTATAGGGATATCCACCCTTGATTTATTTGATATCGGTCTGAATAGGGTAAATACACATAAATGTAGAAATTAGTTTTTTTCCCATAGGACCCCATAAAAAAATGACGCCAAAAACTGAATGCGCTATAGGAATAAGGACACTCTCTAAGTTTAAAAACATGTTTTTCAAAATTGTAGTTGATCCTTTTATGCGAATTTCTTTAAAAACTGAGCCCTTTAGGAAAAAAAATTTAAATAGAGAATTAAAGACGACAAAATTATCTATTAAATGATGCTTTAACAACCGCAACTATTGGCGTAGATATAATTTTTTTTATATACAAAATGTTTAAAAACTTGATGTTTTTGCACATTAATCGCCCAAACCATATTTCACAAAAAAAGGAAAGGACAACAGTAAATGGTTTATCTATTAAAAAAAACTATGTATTTAAGAAAACAGGACCCTTAAATAAATTGAGTACCTAAGTAATGTATGTTCAGTAGTTGAGGTATATGCTTACGCAATAATACTAACATCAGTTGCTTACATTAAATTGCCAACAAGGAGTAAATAAAAAATCTAGTTAGCCATCACCTTTGCCAGGCAACACTTTTGCCTATGTATTTTGGAACGGACTAGTGAAACTTCTGGGAAAAGAACAAGCGTTGAGATAGCCTCTATGGTCTCTAAGAACTACCAAGGTGGCATATTTAAGGGAAATGCATGTTAAATGCTTCTGAAACATCCTGACACTCTTCTTACAAAAGATTTTTTGAAAAATGTTAGTCCTTTGGTCATTTTACCATACTGGTCCCAATTTAAGACTTTGGATAAATTAGTTGAGAATTATTAATCCACCAAAACGCCAAATTTGACCTAAATAAAAATGCACATACAAACATTAGTAGTTATATTTAAAGCTGATGATATATCTCAAACTTTAAAAATTCATGTACTAATTAATCACTTGGAAGAATGTCCACCGCGATTTTTTAAAATTTTGGAAAGAGCAGTTGTAGAGTTTCCATCAAGTATTTCTTGATGGAAACTCTACAACTTTTAATGCTTTTTCTCAGGTTGATAACATTACAATAATATTTGACAATTATTAAGTAGGTACTTACTTGTCTTTTAAGAAAAATTATGCTGAAAGTAACCTATGGCAGGTTATTTACTAAAAATGAAACATACCCAGTTAAACATAAAAAATTCACGACTACGTCCACCGATTTCGTATGTCAATAGTTTAGGCATAATTATGGGGGCATGATTTAATAGATAATAAAGTCACCTTTATTTCCTTATTCAATTCAAAATTTTTTCCAAAGGCCTCCGTTTTAAAGATAATAGTAAGAACCTAAAAGGAACAGCTACAATTTTGAAAAACATATTTTTACTTTACTTTAGAGGATATCCTTATTCAAATACTGCAGTCAGTTTTTGGCGTCATTTTTATGTGACCTATGACTCGTTCAGGACCACTGTGTATATCCTTCCTTAAGTTATTTGCTATTGGTCCCAATAGGGGAAACGTAAAAGTTATGGTGTACCTATAGGTAATTTCCTATACATTTTCTGTCGGGCCGTATTTGGAAAAATCATGGACAAATCCACACATTGAGTCCGTTAGTGCCCGATAGATTATTT